AAAACCACTTTTCACAAAACAGGATCACAGTTTACTATGAAGTTAATTATTTGGTTGGCTAAATAATTCTTTTGATAATTAGAAGGTTTAATAGGCAAGAATCGTGTTCTTTGACAAAGACTCAGTTTCCCAAACAATTTCAGCAACCAAATTATTACATTTTACAAATGAGAGACATTTTATGGACTATAGCATTGATACAGGATTTTCTCATCCAGGGCTGGATAGGACCCCCATTTTTTAGGCCCAGGTGAGCTCAGAAATCAGACCCCCATCCTTAGGCCCAAACAAGCTGTGCCCTGAAAGCTACACCCTCTGAACTCCAGCAAGACCACAAACAAAGCAGTCTGAAACTTTTTTTTTTTGGGTGGCTCCATTAGGGAGCACACACCCTAATTCCCTCCCTAGACAAAAACTGCAAAGACCTAACAACCTTGCCCCAGGAGAGGGAATACTTTGATTCATTTGTTAAAACATTCAGCTTGTAAAGGTGCTTTTCCATCTACCAAGTCCTGGCCCAAATTTCTCTTAGGGCCAATATTTACCCCCAGACAAAGGATCCATGCAGGAGACCTCCAACTTGGGCCTCCTACCCCCTACCAGAAGCTCTGGCACTCTCCACTCCCTCTGCATGCCCCTTTCTCCAACAAAATCCCATTTTATCACTGATCTGTGGCCTGTGGGCTTACTTCTCAAATCCCTGAGACCAAGGACTCACCAAAGAAATTCCAGTAACCAAACCACAACATAGGCATCATTTCTGGTGTCTTTTTATTGTCCTCCCTAGGTCTCACATGGCCCTGTGGCAACAAAAGTAGCCACCATGGGCTAGACCTGTGTCTAAGACAGAAAACCCTGAATATTCAGTTTCTTTCTGAATATCCAGGGGGCAAAGTTGGAGCAGGGAAGTCTTGCCCTGTGAAGTGGGGGGTGTGTGTGTGTGTGCGCCCGCACGCGCGTGCAACCTTACCTATTGTTATCAATCTCAGTCAGTCTCCAAGTTCTTACATGCACACAATTCCAATTCCAACATTTCCTAACATGGGCAGCCTTGATTTCCCACTCAAACTGCTACTTAGCTATAGAAGGTGAACCTACAGTCCCCTAGGCCCTGTGAGGGGAGGTCGGAATCTCACCCTTAGTGTCCAGTCTCAGTCACATCATACTCACACTCTCTCATACACCTCTTAGCAGTCCTGCCAGCAATCTAATGCCCAGAGGTTGATTGGACCCCGTTTCTGCCCAAATAGTGGGAATCCCAGATCGATGATACATTGCCTTAGATGTCTCCTGGTGCAGGTGCCAGTTCCTGCATGCCACTTCCTCCCAGTGTTTGACTCCTTGGAAACCTGCTGAGGGGGTCCTTTCTCTCCCCAGTGGAGGTGTTCACACAGGGAATCCAAGCTGCTTCCCTGGGACACTCAGTCGTTCAGGTCGCCCAGGCTGATTAGGGCCCCTGTGTGGTTGTCCAGAGAGTTGGCAGCAACTGCCAGGTGCGTCTGAGTTGCTTTCTCCTTGGGTGGTCTTGTTCCTGGTCAGGAAACCAAAAATGTTGAAGGAAGACGAACCAATGAAGAAAAAGAACATCTAAACACCATGTTTGCAAGAGGAAGGGCTTTATTTCAGTCAGCAGAGCAAATGGCATAGAAGAATTCAAAATGGCTGCACTCCCAGTTGGGCTTTTTAATTCCTAAAAAAACCTAATGTGTTTCTCCTTTTAACAGTAACTGCTCTTTATGATTATTTAAAGCCATTCTTGTATTTAGATTCATAAGCATGACTTGTGTTTACTTATTTGATATAAACTAGGCTTTCATAAGAAATTCTGGATTATGCCATAAACAATTTCAATCTTTTGGAACATATTTCTTCCTTATCAAAACAAAATTTTTTGCAAATCTGTATTTTGTAAGAGGTGGCATGAAACCACATAAACAGATGACTGATGAGGGCTCACATATGAAGACCCAGAGAGAGCTGGGTACAGTGGCTCTTGCCTGCAATCCCAGTCTTTGGAAGGCTGAGGTGGAAGGATTGCTTAAGGCTAGGGGTTCAAGATAAGGTTGGGCAACATAGAAAGATCCCCTCTCTACAAAAAATAAAAAAATTAGCGAGGTGTGGTGATGTGTGCCTGTAGTCCCAGCTACTCTGGAGGCTAAAGCATGAGGCTTGCTTGAACCAGGAATTTGAGGGTGTAGTGAGCTACGATCATGCCACTATACTCCAGCCTGGGTAACAGAGTGAGACCCTGTGTCTTAAAAATAAACAAAATTAAAACAAACAAGCATCTCTGGAGAGCTCACCGCCAACCACACAGAACAGTGTATTTCCTTCTTTTTTTGTTTTTTGAGACAACGTCTCACTATGTTGCCCTTGGTAGAATGCTGTGGTGTCACAGCTCACGGCAACCTTCAACTCTTGGGCTCAAGCCATTCTCTTGCCTCAGCCTCCCAAGTAGTTGTGACTATAGGTGCCCGCCACAACGCCTGGCTATTTTTTGTTGCAGTTATTGTTGTTTAGTTGGCCGGGGCTGGGTTCGAACCCGCCACTGCTGGTGTGTGTGGGTGGCACCATAACTACTGTGCTTATGGGTGCTGCACCTTTTTTGGGGGGGATTCATTGAGGGTACAAGATTTGTTAGGTAAAGTCCCTCTTATAATTGTATCTTGCCCCCAAAAGGTGTGTCACACACTGAGACCCCACCCGCCTCCCTCCTTCCCTCTCTCTGCTAGAACAGTGCATTTCTGAGGAATACTGTTGTGGCTTTTCTCAGGTGACAGTCATACCTATAGGAAATCTGATAGTTCTGATGTGAGGTCGTTTCTCACAGGTCTCCAGCTTCCCTAGGATGAAACTCATTTATACAGACAGAATTCAAGTGATCAAAAAATAATATAGACATCATGTAGTGTTAAGATACAAAAGATAGAACTTTTTATTGTGATAACCAGTTGAATTTATGAATAATGTTTTGTTTTGCTTTTTGCTATGAAAGCTGAGAGACTGAATATACAATAGATAATGTCCAAACCATAAGTAGAAATAGAACTTTGACCCACAACCTGGAGCAATCTGCTAAGGAAGCCAGCCCCTTCTCTACAATAAACAGACCAGAAAAATAATTTGTTACGTCAGACATCCAGGAAGGCAGATTGCTATCTCTGGTGACAATGTAGGAAGCTGAGCAATAATGTCTGGACAATCAGCCCCGAAGGACCTGGACTTGATCAGTAACTGACAGCTTCCTTAATTTTTGTCTCATGTGCAATTTAGGACCAACCAAGGAAAGCTAAATATGCAGCCCTAACCAGTTGCATCGGGTACCCCACTCCATTTAGCCAGACTGCAGCTTCCCCATGCCAACAGCTTCCAATGAGGATACATGTGAAGCCTTCCCCTTTTCTCACTGTATAGCTTCCCTAATCCTGTGTCTGCCTTTGAATCTCTGTCAGCGTGCAAGCAATGGAGTCTGATTCCTTTGCTGAGGATAAATAGCCTTTGCTTTTCTCATTTGGTTGGTCTTCATTTATTTCCATAGCAGAATATATGAAAAAATTCAAAAGAGGAAACCCTAGACTTTCAGACTACACTAGTCCCCCTTATTCAGGATGTGTTTCAAGACCCCCAGTGGATGCTCGAAACCAAACATTATATGCACTATATGTTTTTGGACCTAGACAGCTACTAAGTGAGTAACAGGTTAGTAGCTTAGACAGGGTGGATGCATGGGATGAAGGGATGATTCACCTCCCAGGCAGGACAGAGCAGGATGGCGCGAGATGTCATTATGATACTCAGCATGGCATAGGTATGAATAGTTTATTTCTAGAATTTTTCCATTCATTATTTTTGGGCCATGGGTGACCACAGGTAAAGGAAACTGCAAAAAAGTGAAACTGCAGATAAGGGGGGACTACTGTATCATTAGAGTCATGAGGTGATTGTAACTCTAGTAGTATTTATTTGCTTTAAGAAAGGTTGCATAAATACGGTTAAAAACATTGAGTTGTGCAAAGGTAGAGCCAGGAATGTCCTATAACTCGTTAACTGCCAAAATGACAGCTATTCCCTGGTCGCTGCCATTGACTAAAATACAAACGTCTTGAATGAACCTTTGTTGATCCCTTCCGTGTTTTGTTTTCTGCGTCATCACTTTTGGCTCTTTGTCTCTTTCCTTCAACTTTTTTGCTTAATTTTTTTCTGACTTCTTGAGATTGAAGTGTGCCTCAATGACTGATCATGGATTTCTGGTCTGTCTTTGTTTTCATTTATACATTTAAAACATAAATCTTCCTCTGAGCGTAGGTTTAGTTGCAGCTCACAAGTTTCAGACCTGTCTCTCTGAGTCTAGAGCTTGGAAGTCTGATCATTTACCATCCCACCACCATGTGGCATGATTGCCCCAGAACAGGATGACAGTCAGAACAATACAATTTCTAAGTTTGGGGTGGGTGGTTGTGATTATCTTAACAGGTAGAAAGTTATATTTTGGGTGGTGGTGTGAGAGGTCTTATATATAATATCAAATTTTGTAAAGTCTAATTTCTCTCTTTAAATCAGTGACCTCTACTGATAGAAATGGACAGTATGATAGGACAGTTTTTTATAAAAATCATCTTCAGGAAAAAATTATTTAATTTTGGAAATCAAAGGGAAAATACTATTTTAGACATTTGAATGTCAAGTGTTGTCTTCTATCTTGGGAGTTTTAAATTACATGTCAAGAAATTTAACATTAAGCTAAAAAGACTGGGTTTTATAGAAATCAGTGCATCATTTTTCTAATTCAAATTATAGCACAATACCTGGAATCTTTCTTTGCAGTGGTAGAATTAATTTTATTGTAGACCTTTATCATAAGTAAAAATGATATATCTGGCTAAGAATTTGTACTTTAGTTTTGTATGACAGTAGCCAATCTGCTTGAAGTATGTGTGCAAGTAATTTAGTGCTTTAGCCTGTACCGGCAATAAATTATCTCTATCTTTTTTCCTTTTTAGAAAATTTTTACTACTGGAGATATCAACAAAGATGGAAAGCTGGATTTTGAAGAATTTATGAAGTACCTTAAAGACCATGAGAAGAAAATGAAATTGGCATTTAAGAGTTTAGACAAAAATAATGATGGTGTGTCTTTCTTTTCTATTCATGACCAGCTATGTAGAAGTACTTCTCATGCTTCCAAGAGTCTAAAACAATGCATAGTCTCTCATTTTTGAGATGATAATTATTCCTTGTGTTAATACTTGTTTTTCATATTGTTAGCAATATGAATTTTATGTAGAGTGAAGAAAACTTCAATATAGCTTTGCCTACTGAATTATAAAACTGTGGGTAGGGCCTGTTGTAAAATGTTAACTGTGGAACATTGTGTTACTTTCACTAAAGCTATGGGTTAAAAGTAATACGTATGTTCTCTTGGCTTCTGGGTAAGAGATTTATTTTTATCTATAGGCATAAGTATTGTGGATTACAAAATTTAAGAAGATTTCAAGTTATCTTGTATTTGACAGTCATTTTGAAGAATTAATTTAGAGAAGATACTATTTGATACTGAAAATTAGAAAAAATTAGCATATTATCATTTTAGTATGTTCCTTCTGATTGGGACTTTGGTTTCTCTATTCAAATGAATAGTTCGAAATTTGTCTCAAAGTTTAGAGTTTGTTTTCTGTTGCTATAACAGAAGACCACAGACTGAGTAATTTATGAAGAAAGGAAATTTATTTCTTAACAGTTCTGGAGGTGGGGAAGTTCAAAGTTGGTGGGGTGCATCTGGTGAGGGCCGTTGAATTACGTCAGGACACACTGGGAGGCCTGACAGGGTGGGACAGAGCTAATGTGCTGCTTCGGATCTCTCTTCCTCTTCTATAAAGCCACCAGTCCCACAATGAGGGCTCCACTGACAACCTTATCTAATCCTAATTACCTCCCAAAGGCCCCTATCTCCAAATTCATCAATATGTAAATTAGGAGATGAGGTTTCAACACAAACAACCCATTCAAACTATAGAAGAGTTAGAGTTCCAGCTAGGGAGGGCAAATAGTAAGGCCCTGGAAGAAAGGGAGTCATGAAGAGGGAATCTGTAACAATTTAATACAGCCCCCAAACCCCTCCCTGTGTCTGATTAGTCAGAGCCATTCCGTGGACAGACTCATTATTCAAGAAACAAGTTTAGTAGATGGAGAGAAAATAGGGTTCATATCAGTGGTTGGCAAACTGTTTTGTAGAAGTCCAGGTACTATTTTGGCTTTGTGGGCTAGGCAGCCTCAGTTGTAGATATCATCTTTCTTCCGTGATACCTCAAAAGCAGCCAGGGACAAAATGTAAATGAATGAGCATGGCAGCATTCCAATAAAATTTTATTTAGAAAGACAGTCAGCAGGTCTTGTTTGACCTAACGATTAGAGTTTGCAAGCTCTTCGTTTATGATGACTTTGAACTAAAGTTAAATTCAAAGCAAGTTTTTCCACACATACAAACAACTAAATCCTTTGAGTGATTTTGATGATTATTGAAGTCTGTAACTCTCAGCTAGGAAGTTTTGAGTTTGTGGTAGAGAGTAGTATGATATTTCTGGAACATTCGTTGCCTCTAATAACTTTGTTTTATATGCCTCCGAGTCTAGCCTTAGTCTAATCTTTGAGCAAAATTGACTTCTTGCAATCAGCTTTCCTTCTTCCTTGCAAACTTTCCTCCCAACTTGGACCCCCCCACAGTTCAAGCGCAGAGAAGAATCTGTCTGGGTGGGGGCGGCGCCTGTGGCTCAAAGAAGTAGGGCACGAGCCCCATATGCCAAAGGGGGCAAGTTCAAACCCA